ATTAGAAGAAAGTGTGTTTTATTCCTTAAAAAATTGATGCATGAGTTTATATACTTAAATAGGCTTATTATTTATTTTCTTGTTACAAAATGAGAATGCTTATTTTTAGGAGTGTTTGTTGAGTCTCTAAATATTGGGGTTTTCTATGTTTCTGTTATTGATTGTTAGTTTAATTCCATTGTGATCTGAAAGCATGCTTTGTATGATTTCTATTTTTTAAATTTGTCAAGTTGTGTTTTATGACCCAGAATGTGGTCTGCCTTGATGAATGTTCCATGTGAGCTTGAGAAGGATGTGTATTCTGCTGTCTTTGGGTCAGGTATTCTTTAAATGTCAATTAAATCCAGTTGATTGACAGTGCTGTTCAGTTCAATTATATCCTTACAGATTTTCTAGCTGATTCATCTGTCAGTTACTGATGGAGGAGTATTGAAATCTCCAACTATAATTATGGGTTTGTGGATTTCTCTTAATCAGTCAGTCAGTTTTTGCCTCATGTATTTTGATGCTCTTTTGTTAGGTACATACATATTAATGATTGTTATGTCTTTTAAGAGAATTGACCCCTTTACAGTTAAGTAATGCCCCTTTTGGGGCTTCCCAGGTGCTGCAGTGGTAAAGAATCTGCTTGCCAACACAGGAGATGCAAGAGATGCAGGTTCAATCCCTGGGTTAGTCCTGGAAAAGGAAATGGCAATCCACTCCAATATTTTTGCCTGGGAAATTCCATTGACAGAGAAGCCTGACAGGCTATAGTCCAGGAATTTGCAAAGAGCTGGACAAGACTAAGCGCCCAAGCACACACAAACACACACACACACACAATGCCCCTCTTTTTCTTTGATAAATTTCCTTGCTCTGAGGTCTGCTTTGTTTGACACTAATATAGCTACAAAGGAAACAGTGAAAGATTTTATTTTCTTGGGCTCCAAAATCACTGCAGATGGTAACTGCAGCCATGAAATTAAAAGACACTTGCTCCTTGGAAGAAAAGCTATGACCAACTGAGACAGCGTATTAAAAAGCAGAGACACTACTTTGCCTTCAAAGGTCCATCTAGTCAAAGCTATGGTTTTTCCAGTGGTCATGTATGGATGTGAGAGTTGGACCATAAAGAAAGCTGAATGCCAAAGAATTGATGCTTTTGAACTGTGGTGTTGGAGAAGACTCTTGCGAGTCCCTTGGACTGCAAGGAGATCAAACTATAGTCCATCCTAAAGGAAATCAGTCCTGAATATTCGTTGGAAGGACTAATGCTGAAGCTGAAACTCCAATACTTTGGCCACCTGATGTGAAGAACTGACTCATTGGAAAAGACCCTGATGCTGGGAAAGATTGAAGGCAGGAGAAGGGGATAACAGAGGATGGATGGCATCACCGACTCCATGGACATGAGTTTGAGCAAGGTCGGGAGTTGGTGATGGACAGGGAGGCCTGGTGTGCTGCAGTCCATGGGTCGCAAAGAGTCAGACACCACTGAGCGACTGAACTGAACTGAACTGAATGTAGCTACTCCAGCTTTCTTTTGATTAGTGTTCCAATTGTGTATCTTCTCTTCCCTTCACTTTTAATCTATGTCTTTATATTTAAAGTGGGTTTCATATAGACAAAATCTAGTTGGGCCTTATGTTTTCTTGCTCCATTCTAACATTCTCTTTCAGTTGATGTATTTAGTTCACTGGCATTTAAAGTGATTATTGATATAGATTAGTAATGAGCATATTTTAAGTATTTTAATTGTCTGTTTCTTTGCGTGAGTATGTGGTCCACTTTTATTTCCTGCACTCTTTGGTTTTAATTGAGCATTTATATGATTCCATTTATCTCTTCTCACGGTGTGTCAATTGTGCTTCCTTAAAAAATTTCTTTTTAGTGGTTGCTGTAGAGTTTGCTGTATACATTTATAACTAATAGAGTACACTTTCAGATAACACTATATTACTTCATGGGTAGTGCAGATACCTTATAAGACAGTATGCTCAGTTTCCCCACCCTGTCCCTTTCTATACTGCTGTTGTTAATTTCACTTATCCATAAGCTACACCAAATACATTGTTGCTATTAGTATTTTGAACAAGCTATTGTATGTTAGATTAATTAAGATTAACAGAACTAAAACATTTTATTTTACCTTCACATATTCCTTTCTTTTTGGGCTTCCCTGGCGGCTCAGTGATAAAGAATCCACCTGCCAATGCAGGAGATGTGAATTCAGTCCCTCGGTTGGGAAGATCCCCTGTAGGAGGAAATGGTAACTCACTCCAGTATTCTTCCTGGGATAATCCCATAGACAGAGGAGCCTGGCAGGCGCCCATCCATGTGGTCACAGAGAGTCAGACACGACTTAGCGACTAAATAACAACAAATTCCCTTCTTTGTTCCTGGCCTATATAATTTTCTTTTCTGTGAATAAGTTCTTGTAACATTTCTTGCAAGATAGGTCTACTGGTGACAAATTCCCTCCATTTTTACTTGATTGAGAAATCATAACTTTGCAAAGTGCAGATTTTTAGTTTGGGGGATTGGTTTTTTTCTTTCAAAACTCTAAATGTTTCATCTCACTCTCTCGCTTGCATGGTTTTAAAGGAAAGTTTGATAAAACGCTTATTCTTGATTCTGTTTGTACAAGTTGGTCCTCCTCCCATCTGGCTCCCTTCAAATTTGTCTTTGTCTTTGGTTTTTTGCAGTTTGGATATAACACGCTGTTATGAATTGAATTATGTGATTCCTCCCACCCTTCAGTAAAGCTATATTGAAGTCCTGATTCCCAGCACCTCAGAATGTGATCTTGTTTGGAAATAAGATCATTGCAGATATAATCAGTTATTACATTAGTTAAGTTATGATGAGACCGTATTGGAGCAGGGTGAGGCCCTAATCCAATATAACTGGTGTTCTTATAAGAAGCTAGTTATGTGAAGACACCAAGATACACAGGTACCATGCCATGTGATAATAAAGGTGAATGTTGGAGTTATCCAGCTGTAGGCCACAGAATGCCGAAGATTGCCAAGAGACCACCAGAAACGAGGAAGAAGGAAGGAAAGTTTTCTCTATAGGTTTCAGAGAGAGCATAGTCCTGCTGTCACCTTCATTTCAGACTTCTAGCCCCTAGAACTGTGAGACAATAAATTTCTGTTGTTTTAAGCCACTCAGTTTATGGTGGTTTTGTTATGGCTGTACTGTGCTGGGCTTAGTCACTCAGTCACGTCCGACTCTCTATGACCCCACGGACTGTGGCTCGCCAGGCTCCTCTGCCCATGGGGTTTCTCCAGGCAAGAACACTGGAGTGGGTTGCCATGCCCTCCTCCAGGGGATCTTCCCATCCCAGGGATCGAACCCAGGTCTCCCGTATCACAGGCAGATTCTTTACCATCTGAGCCATCAGGGAAGCCCTTTGCTATGGCTGCCCTTGGAAATTTAACACATGTGTGTAGGTGTAGATTTTTTAATATTTTTCCTCCTTCATGGTCATGGAGCTTCCTGGATCTATGGCTTAGTGCCTGTCATTAATTTTGGAAAATCCTCAGGCATTATTACTTCCTGGAGAATCCCATGGACAGAGGAGCCTGACAGGCTGCAATCCATAGGGTCACAAAGAGTTGGACACAACTGAGTGACTGAGCTCACACACACAGAGTCTCTAGCAATTATATAGTTATCCTTTCAGTAGGAACACTTGAAGCTTACGATACTCTTGTAGCAGCTTCTGTTCCTGGTAAACTGTGATTCTGTGTATCGTGTGTGTTTCTAGTTTCTGGGGGCAGCAGTTTACCAATTCTCTGATGGATCTAAGAAGAGTTCTAGTGTTTTGGTTTATTTATGAGCATTTTTCCTGTTATAAAGATGGAAGTGATGACTTCCAAGCTCTTTATACGTTGGACTAGAAACCAGAAGTCAGAAGTGTCTACTTTTGAAAATTAAAGAAACAATGAGAAGAATAAAATCACCCATAATCTCATCACCGTGAGATTAAAAAAGTTAGAATAATGTTAAATATCTTTCCAATTATTTTTCTACCTATATAATTGTTTTATAAACATTCAGAGAAGACACAGAATATTATAATTACCTGTATACCCATGTTAATTATTTGTTCCATTGTTTTCTGGTTGATGGCTCTTTTGACCCTTCTCAGTTCTTTACCTTCACTCCATAAAGATAATCACCATCCTGATTTTTTAGCTGTATTTTTGCTGATACTCTCTTTGTTACTTCTTTATAAAATAGGTATATTATTAAACATTACCTGAGCAGAATCATATTATACTTAATCTTCAACAAGTTGCTATTCTCAATCTACCTTTTTCTTTAACGATTTATTCATATGGAAACGTATACATCTGGTTCATTTATTTTAACTATTTCTGATCCTTGTACTATGTGACCTTACCTAACTTACTGATCCCTTTTTCTATTAATGCACATCTAGATTGCTTCCAGTTATTTTGGCAATGCTGCCATGACCATTCTTTTGTTTTTAGAGAATCATACTATATTTGTGAACTGCAAATAACAAAACAAAACAGAGGTCCAAGGAGGCTAAAGTCCAAGCTGTAATTTACACACAAAGTGTATGGTGAAAGCAGTTACAATGTACAAAAATGTGACAAGTAAGCCAGATGTTTAACAAAACAGAGCCTGTCCAAAGAACATCCAGTTCTTATCCTGTAGGTTTCTGAGGAGCCTGTTCCATAAGGTGAATTCCCCTCCTGCTGATAAAAAGCAGCTTGCCAACACCCATATATTTCTTACTGGGCAAGTCTACTTGGCAATACTGATAACCCGAGAACTCCCTACTACATTCATTGGTCTGAAAACAACTCATAACCCAACTGTTCTTCCAAGTCCTTTACCAGTTTTTCAAGCTTTCTATCAAAGGAAAGTTGGAATGTATTGCTTCTTGTCGTCAACAGGCATTTCAAAAAGAGGGTAATTAACCAAAATCAAGAGTTCTTTGGTCGAGTTAGTAACAGGCTTCCCCTTTGTTCTAAATCTCTTCATAATCCCTTCTTTGCCAATTTTTCCAGTGTGGCCTGGATTTTACAAACCACCTCTTTCCTGGCCTGCCGGATGGAGTCCTGGCCCCCAGTTTCAACTGAATCCGGTTCCAGAAGTTCCTTGGTTAGCATCTCTTCCAGAAGCCAGTATGCTTTGTCTGTCTTTTTTCCTACAAACTCTTCTACTTCTTGCTGAAGATACTGGACCTTCTCCTGCACATGTATGGTTTTTTTCATGCTTGGGGGAGTCCCTTCATCTAAAGATAAACACTCTTCAGCAAGATGATTACCCTGGTCTTGAGTGCTGGGATGTTTGTGAGTGGCATTACCGTACAGATGAGGCTCAGCACTATACTGGACCTGGGAATACAAAAGCTCTGAACTGTCATCGTTCACTGATCCCAAGGACTCATGCTGATGGACACTGCAAGGAAAGTTGTGCTGGCTCATGCCTTGATCTGCTTGGCTGTAGGCATAGGAGTCATTAGGCTGTGGGGGTGGCGGTGAAGGAGGTGGCTGAGAAGAGCCACTGCTAGGCCACGATGAAGTGCTTTCGTTCCTGTAGAGACCCCCCCAGTGATGCTGAGGGTGCAGCTGAAGGCCAGGGGTACCGGGTTCCCATTTCATAAACACCTGGAGGAGCCCATGAGTCCTCCTGGGGTCGCGCAGTTGGTCCTGGTTGTGGAACACTATCAGGTTGTGGTATTACCATCCCCATAAGGGTAATGGGGTACACTCATTCCAGGGTTCTGTGAAGCAGGATATCCTGGAACCTGCCCCCTAAGAGGGGGTGCTTCAGTCTGGTAGTCCTGCTGGGGGTACATCCAACAGGAGACTGGCATTGGGCTGTTGCCAGGTGAAGGATAAGTGCTTGGAACCTCTGTGGAGTAACTGGTCTGAGCATAGCCAGGTGTGTAATAGGCCCCAGGGTATGAGGCAGTATATCTCCCCGGGCCAGTGGGGTGTGGTGGGCCATATCCCCCATTTGTATAAGAATTCAAACCAGAAGTTTGCATTTCCGGTACTTGGGTAAGGAGCCACAGGTCGGGCAGCAGAATTCCAGTAGTTAGAATTGTAACTAGGATATGGTGGCTGCACCTGCCGCCAGGAAATGGGAGGCTGGGGAGGCTCGGGGCGCCAGGGGGTAGATGGGCGGAGGCGGGTGCACAGGCACATCTCCACCCCCAGGCCCGTAGTAGACAGGCCATCACTGGGGCGGCAGCTGGAGCGCCTCACGGCCGACATGGGCTCTGCCACCCCCAGGCGCTTCCTGCCCCGCCCCTCACGGCAGGCCTGCCACAACCATTGTTACATGGATTTATATGCGCACATGTGAGTTTCACATGAGAGGCTGTGTCTATTGGATAAAAGAGCGTAGGCTTCAAAGGCAAGCTGCTTCTATTTAAATTTCCACGTTAACACTTACCAGTAGTGTAACCATAGGCAACTTAGATGTTGAATCCGTATTATTCAGGGCCCAGAATATCAAGGTGAGGATGTAATAGTTAATTGAATAGGTATTGAGGAGGCACTGGAGGCTTTGAGGAGGACGTGATAAGATCAGATTGACATTAGAATTTATTTGGAAATAGTGTAAACCATGAATTGACCTAGGAAGTTGAGAGATTGGAAAGTCAGCCCATTCTATTAATACCAGCATTTCTGGATCGGTTACCCAAGTTTTCAAACCATGAATTATTTCAAATCAGATGGAATTTTGAAGGAAACATTCTAAGTAAAATAAGAATCTTTTTTTACCATTTATTTTCAACCTGATAGTGATCCTTTTTTTCCCCTTATCTTCCTCAATTTTCTTTTCTGGCTTCCCAATTTCTGGATCCCATAATGCATATTCATTCTCATTTAAGATTCTCTCTTTTATTTCTTCTGTCTCCAAAGTAAAAGCTGAAATCACTCACAGCAAGAGGATTATATATCATCATCTCCCCAAACAATCTTACTTTTGAAACTTCATTCTTTTATAGCTAAGTAACATTGGGTTGGCCAAAAAGTTCATTGGGGAACAGCTTATGGAAACCTGAATGAACTTTTCGGCCAACCCAATACATACAGATGGTAGTGAACAATTAAGTAGTACAGAAAACTTTACAATGAAAAGCAACCATCTCTAGGCCTTGCTTGTCACATCTTCAGAGCCATTATCCAGGTGCAACCTCTTTAACCTTTTTTAGTTCTTTGGGTGTTTATCTTAGTAAGTCTAAATAATATGCTTATGCATCTGTTCTTGCTTTATCAACTTTATGTCTATTTACAACTTTCTATGAAAATGTAGATTTTATCCAATAATATTAACACTAATTCCCTATCTCTTCTGTTTTTTATTAATTATGCAAACTATGATTTCCTATTGATTGCTATTATAACTTTCAATAATGTACATAAAACTCCACTTTTTCCATATATTCCCCATGTTATTATTATTGTTTTTATTGTTTGCTTTTGCAGCTTTCAATAAGGCACCTTAATCTCTATGTAATACCCTATCAAGTTTTAACTGTCATCTTTCTACTTTCTACATTGTGAGATGAATATATCCCCCCTTTTTTCTGTTTTTTTTCCACTTCTCACCTATCATCAGCTTTTCCTTTATTTTACATTGTCAAGGCTGCCTAAAGCTTCCATTCCAATTTGTAGCCCTATCTAAGGATTTCATGCTTCATGTAAAGATTGTGAGAGGTAAATAGCAAAAACTTAATCATGGTGATGAAAACGTTATTAACTCTTCCATCAACTAGTATTTACTTTTCCATGGACTGAATGCCATCAGTCTTGGATTCTTTAAAGAGAAATTTTCCTCCGAGCAAGGTGAACTCTAGTCTCATTTCTTACAGTTCATCAGTTGTGTCAAACATAAAATAATTTTTTTCCGTTTCCTATTAGCTTGACTAAAATGTAAAAGCCTAGTGGAGGAACCTAGACCCTATTACACAGAGTGAAGTAAGTCAGAAAGAGAGAAACAAATATCATACATTAATGCATATATATGGAATCTATAAAGATGGTACTGATGAAGCTATTTGCAGGGCAGGAATAGACTGTAGAGACAGGCATAACAGACTTGTGGACACAGTGGGGGAAGGAGAGTTCAGTTCAGTTCAGTCTCTCAGTTGTGTCCTACTCTTTGTGACTCCATGAACTGCAGCATGCCAGGCCTCACTGTCCATTGCCAACTCCAGGAGTTTACTCAAACTCATGTCCATAGAGTCGGTGATGCCATCCAACCATCTCAATTCTGTTGTCCCCTTCTCCTCCCTCCTTCAATCTTTCCCGGCATCAGGGTCTTTTCAAATGAGTCAGCTCTTCGCATCAGGTAGCCAAAGTATTGGAGTTTCAGCTCCAGCATCAGTCCTTCTAATGAATATTCAGGACTGATTTCCTTTAGGATGGACTGGTTTGATGTCCTTGCTGTCCAAGGGACTCTCAAAAGTCTTCTCCAACACCACAGTTCAAAAACATCAATTCTTCAGTGCTCAGCTTTCTTTATAGTCCAGCTCACATCCACACATGACTATAGGAAATAGCATAGCTTTGACTAGACGGACTTTTGTTGGCAAAGTAATGTCTCTGCTTTTTAATATACTATCTTGTTGGTCATAACTTTTCTTCCAAGGAGCAAGCGTCTTTTAATTTCATGACTGCAGTCATCATCTGCAGTGATTTTAGAGCCCCCCAAAATAAAGTCTCTCACTGTTTCTCCATCTATTTGCCATGAAATGATGGGACCAGGTGCCATGATCTTAGTTTTATCAATGTTGAGTTTTAAAACAACTTTTTCACTCTCCTCTTTCACTTTCATCAAGAGGCTCTTTAGTTCTTCTTCACTTTCTGCCATAAGGATGGTGTCATCTGAATATCTGAGATTATTGATATTTCTCCCAGCAATCTTGATTCCAGTTTGTGTTTCATCCTGCCTGGCATTTTGCCTGATGTACTCTGCATATAAGTTAAATAAGCAGGGTGACAATATACAGCCCTGACATACTCCTTTCCTGATTTGGAACCAGTCTGCTGTTTCATGTCCAGTTCTAATTGTCACTTCTTGACCGGCATACAGATTTCTCAAGAGGCAGGTGTGGTGGTCTGGTATTCCCATCTCTTGAAGAATTTTCCACAGTTTGTTGTGATCCACACAGTCAAAGGCTTTGGCATAGTCAATAAAGCAGAAGTAGATGCTTTTATGGAACTCTCTTGCTTTTTCTAGGATCCAATGGATGTTGGCAATTTGATCTCTGGTTCTTCTGCCTTTTCTAAATCTAGCTTATACATCTGGAAGTTCTTGGTTCACGTACTGTTGAAGCCTGCCTTGGAGAATTTTGAGCATTGCTTTGCTAGCATGTGAGATGAGTGCAATTGTGCAGTAGTTTGAACATTCTTTGGCATTGCCCTTTTGTGGGGATTGGAATGAAAACTGACCTTTTCCAGTCGTGTGGCCACTGCTGAGTTTTCCAGATTTGCTGGCATATTGAGTGCAGCACTTTCACAGCATCATCTTTTAGGATTTGAAATAGCTCAACTGGAATTCCATCACCTCCACTTGCTTTGTTCATAGTGATACTTCATAAGGCCCACTTGACTTTGCATTCCAGGATGTCTGGCTCTAGGTGAGTGATCTCACCATCGTGATTATCTGGGTCATGAAGGTGTTTTTTGTATAGTTGTTCTGTGTATTCTTGCCACCTCTTCTTAATATCTTCTGCTTCTGTTAGGTCCATACCATTTCTGTCCTTTATTGAGCCCATCTTTGCATGAAATGTTCCCTGGTATCTCTAATTTTCTTGAAGAGATCTATAGTCTTTCCCATTGTGTTGTTTTCTCTCTTTCTTTGCACTGATCGCTGAGGAAGACTTTCTTATCTCTCCTTGCTATTCTTTGGAACTCTGCATTCCAATGGGTCTGCCTTTCCTTTTCTCCTTTGCCTTTCACTTCTCTTCTATTCACAACTATTTGGAAGGAGAGGGAGAGATGAATTGAGACAGTAGTATGGAAACATATGCATTACCATATGTGAAATAGAGCCAGTGGGAAGTTGCTGTATGGAAGCTCAACCTCGTGCTCTCTGACAACCTAGAGAGGTGCGGAGGTAGGGAGGGAGCTTCAAGGAAGAGGGGGCATATGTATACCTATGAGTGATTCATGTTGATGTATGGCAGAAACTAGCACAATATTGTAAAGCAGTTATATTCCATTTAATTTAAATTAATTAAAAAATAACCTGACAATGTCAAGAATGTGGAGCAACTGGAATTCTCAGATACTGCTGGTCAGAGTGTTCGTTGGTATAGGTACTTGGGAAATAGTTTAGCATTGTCTATTAAAACTGAACATATGTGCACTCTATGATCCAACTCCTCCACGCTCACATATATGCTCCAGAGAAGCATGAGTCTAAGCATATCCATCACAGCACTATTTATAATAACCAAATCTGGAAGTGGCTGAGCTTTCCTGGTAGCTAAGACAGTAAAGAATCTGCCTGCATTGTAAGAGACCGGGGTTCAATCCCTGGGTCAGGATGACCCCCCAGAGGAGGAAATGGCAACCCACTCCAGTATTCTTGCCTGGAGAATCCCACTGACAGAGGAACCTGGCAGGCTACAGTCCATGGGGTTGCAAAGAGCCAGACATGACTGAGTGACTAAGCATGCAGGCTGGGGTAGGGCAGGTGTTGTCATTTATAATACAAAAATCTGGAAGTAATCCAAATATCTGTCAACAATGGAATGAATTAATACATTGTGATACACTCATAAAATACTATACAACGATGAGAATGTGTTGCCGTTTGCAACACATAAGTAATATTGAATAAAAGAAGACAGATATAAAAGAGTAATATACTCTATGACTCCTTTATAAGACAGGAAGAGATATTCTATAAAGGTTAGAAGTCAGCATTGTGGTTGCCCTCAGGGATTCAGGGAGTAACTAGGATCATTGTTGTTTAGTCACTCAGTTGCGTCCGACTCTTTGCAACCCTGTGGACTGTAGCCCACCAGGCTCCTCTGGCCATGGGATTTCCCAGGCAAGAATACTGGAGTGAGTTGCAATTTCCTACTCCTTAAAATAGTTCTTTTAGTGATCAAATATAAGTGGCTTATTTTCTATTGGGTTCAAAAATAATTTTTAAAGATATCTTTTTATTTACTTGTCTACACCGAGTGTTAGTTATGGCATGTGGAATCTAGCTCCCTGACCTGGAATTGAACCAGGGCCCCCTGCATTGG